CTACCAAGGGAGAACTCTTGTCTTGATCGCCTCAGGCTATCTAGGTGTTCCTTCACCCTGGAGCACAGGGGTCGTCCAGTCTCCCCGATGTACTCATCCCCACAACTCTTGCATGATATCAGGTAGATCACACCTGATTCCATGCAGTCCCCCTCCCGCCCAGAAGGACGTGTGACACAATGTGGGGTCGGGCAGTACCGATCATACCCGCGGTTGCGGATCAGCTGCTGCTTGAGGCTCGCAGGAGGGATCTCGACCAACCGAACCATGTTGTCGAGACCACACCTGCGCAAAGACAATCTCACAGCAGCGCTGATTGCATCACTCACGAAGGGTAAGCAAAATGGTACTTTCTCCCAATCCTCGGTCACAGGACTTTGTTGACTCCTAGTGGGTGGTCTAGGGGGTATTTGCCTTCTGGGGGTAGCCATTAGAGATTAAAGTCGATTGGGTTCAGCGCCATGGGATCGCGCGGAGTGTGAGGTGACGGTTGGATTCTTGAATGGCCGAGGAACGACAGAGTGGAGCGGCGGGCAAAACTTTGAGCGTTTTGGATAGCGCTAAATCCCAGAATGAATAGAAAGGACGAATGCCTGACCATCACAAACGAGCTCGCCCCGTTTGCTGACCTGTGTGGGCTTCAGTTGCCATCGGCATCAAGTAGAGCGGTCAGGTCAGCTGAAGCCACCGACGGGGAGTCTATTTAGCGGTGGTCTCAAACAAGAACCGGTCGTGCATTAAAGGTGAGTCTTGTGGTGTGTTCTATGACTTTCTGGATCCTACTGGTCTGGGACTAGCTTATCTGAGGTTTGAAATGATTTCCGAGGGTAGTTTCACTTTGATTTTGACTTTTTCCAGGCTGACGATAGCGATAAATACAAAGCCGAAACTTAGCCAATAAAACTTTTATACCATCTTGGTTACGGCTAAAGCAATACCCTATAAGAATTCAAAGTATGCCAAGATTCATCGAGAGTCGAACCTGGACACTTAAAGCAGAGTATAGTTTTGGTCACCACGCAGCGAGGGGCCAGCGCCGAGTATTGATATATGGATATACGGTTTAATGGCGCGTGAAACTGGAGACGTAGAAAAGTGTTCAGAATTTTCTCGAGGCTAAGTGCGACTTCATTCCCCAGCAACCAATACTCCTTGAGTTTTACACAAGGTGATTGTCTGCTGGTTAGCTTCTTCTGACGCTGACCAGCGCACATCACTTTGTCCATCATCTGGCAGGTTTTTGTTAAGGGGAATCGATCTGCCTGAAGGTGATGGTCGGTGTTTCTTGTTCTTTTTGCTTCTCGGCAAGCGACAGCCATGTCGTTCGTAGTCAGCTTCCGCCAGTGGTTGTGCGCTTACCCACTCAACAAGCTATACAGGGGGCCAAAAAAAAAAGTCATTTCGGCCGAGCCACATATCAACGAAGTTTTCGCAGCCCAGACAGGGGAAGTGGATATGAGTACCAGAGTGGAAGATACCCAAGATCTTCCTCTATAAGCTGGAGCAGGCTGCCGCCAATCGCCTTCATGTACGCCAAAATATGAAGTCATCTCCAGTCGCGGCCTGACTGGAGAACACCTTTGGAATTCACGTCGCCTCCAAACAGCTGCGAAACTTCTTGAATGAAGTCATCCACAGATAGCTACCTGGAGGTCAGTACTCTTGATCTGCAAGACCTCCCACATCGAGCAGCTTCGTCAACTTCGCTACGGTCTAGGACATCATCTTCACCGTATTCGCCGAGGCGCGAGTTGATGGTATGGACCGGGGTACCTGGAAAGGGGAAGACCGATATTTTCTTTGTAGACCCCGACTGAAGGTGAGCGCTGGCGGTTACATCAAGTAACTCGAGAAGAATATCCTCCCTACATGTGGTCGCCCGTACCTTCTTGGAGACCTTGTGCTGCTACAGGTTTGGGTGCCACCACATGGAATCAAAGGGTTTTGGAAAAACTCCCGCCTACTTGGAATGGAAGAACGTTGAGTACCTGGAAAAGATGGAGTATTTAAGCGGGGGTCCTGAACTAAACCCCCTCAATTACTCGGTTCGGGCGGAGCTCAACAGGGTGGTCTACAGTGGCGGAGAAATCAACGATCTCGCTCAAAAAAAAATCTCCCGTAAACCCACTCACTTTCGCGCGGCCGATCTCTCGATGGCGCTCCTCCAGAAGGCTGTGGCGGAGTATCATTATAGTATTTAATGTGCTCTTTAATATGGTAGTAAAAATGTCCGATAAAAATTTAATAAAGTGTAACTTATAGCGCCTTGAAAGTCATGGAGGCAAAATGACTTTTTTTTTTGGCCCCCCTGTAGACAACGAGCTGGCAGCGCTACCAAGCCAGACACCTGATTCGCCCCGTCATCCACAAAGAACAAGGCATTAGGAAATTCACGAATTCTTGGGAGGGGGACATCCTGACATCCTCGCCATTTGGGAGGGTGGTTGTATTGAAAATGCTCAGATTGAATTCATGAATGTGTACCGGTGGAGGGAAAGCTTCGAGGTGGTGTAATTTCGACTATTCCTGGGTTAGAATATGTATAGCGGTCGACGACCTTTTTCGGAATCCGAAGTAAAGGTAGATAAAGGGTGGGTGAGATCAAAAATTAGAATGTGGACTCAAGGTGGTACCAGAATCAGCGCTATAGGTGGAGGGAAGTGAGGTCGTGCTATCCAACCCCTTTTTCTCGCCCGCCCAGATTGGAACGTATCAATAATTCACAGAGGCTTCCCACTCGAACGCCGCACATTCGTAAAGTGCTCAAATTTAAAAGTGTGCGAACTTCTGGAGGTTGCCATTCGTCTTGTTTGTTTACGTTCTCTGTTCACATAAAACTATTTTAGACTCTGCTAGCCGAGGATTGGATGAAAGGAACGCTCAACTGGCCAAGATGTTGGGGATTCGACAAACAGCCTACCGATCATTACATGAGGTCACTAGTAGTAACGAGCTTCAAATTAATATCACTATCACATTGAGGTAGCTTTCGTTCGAAAGCCTGTGGAAGCAAGCAAGTTCCCTTGCTAATTTTACCTACTTTTTTGGATAAGGTGGCTTACAAAGCGGAATCTCTCCACCTCCCAAATAGTGATCTGAAGTGCCATTTGATCTTGCGAACCCCACTCATCTTACAAGCTCCGCCCCTTAGTGACTTAGGTGCACAGGGTGCGGGGGGGGGGGAATGCACTTTGGCCAAGTCACATATCAGCAACGTTTTCGACGCTGCGTAGCGCAAAACGGAATACGACGAATACCAGAGCGGAAGATACCCAAGGTGTTTCCTCGATAAGCAGGAGCAGGCTCTCACCCACCACCTTCATGTACACCAAAGTGAAGTCATCTCCAATCGTAGCCTTGCGGGTGAAGGCCCATGGCACGTCACCTCCAAACAGCTGCGAAACTTTTGTATAGAGCCACCCATGGGCAGAGCTACCTGGAGACCGGCACTCTTGATCTGGAAGACCTCCAACATCGAGCAGCTCCGACAACGTCGCTACGGTCTAGGATATCATCTTCACCGCAGTCGCCAAGGCGCGGGTTGATGGTATGGACCGGACGTACCTGGAATGGAAAGACCGATATTTTCTTCGTGGACCCCGGACTGAAGGTGAGCGCTGGCGGTTACATTGGGCAACTCGTGAAGAATATCCTCCTCACATGTGGTCGCCCGTACCTTCTTGGAAACTTTGTACTGCTACAGGATTGGGTGCACCACATGGAATCGAAGGGCGTTGGAAAAACTCTCGCCTACTTGGAATCGAAGGGCGTTGAGAACCTGAAGAAGACGGAATATCCAAGCGTGTCACCTGAACCCCCTCGATTACCGGGTTCGGGCGGAGCTCAACAGGGTGGTCTACAGTGGCGGAGAAATCAACGACCTCGCTGAACTCAGGCACCGAATCACGGTCGCGTGGCAGAATCTTCGATGGCGCTCGTCCAGAAGGCTATGGCGGAGTATCGTGGTAGTGTACAATGTATTATTGAATAGGGCGGTAAAAATGTCCAATCGGAATTCAATGAAGTGTAACTTATATCGCCTCAAAGGTCGGGGAAGAAGAGTGTCTTTTTTTTGCCCCCCCCTTGTATTACAAAAACCTTTATATTGTCAGTCCCTCTAATTTGTCGATAAATCAAAGCACCAGTCGAGCTCAGAAAAAGCACGCCAAACTGGCAGTGTCAGTGTGAGCGTCAATGGTGGAAGAGATTGGAGAGAGCTCTTGGGCTCACCACCCAGTTTATTTATTCCTATTGTGAAAACTAACTATTACCTACCGCCATCGAATTGTTCGAGAAAAGTCCCAAATCCTTGCTTTCAGGCCTTTCCAAGTGGCTCTCGAGAAAGACGTCAGCAAAACGCTTAGGAGAACCTACAGCAGAAGCAACTGTATCGAACAACATCAGGATATTCTTCGATATTTGCAAGACTTCATGTATTCCTATAAAGGTGAGAGCGATGGCGAGAACGAGGTGTAGGGTGGTCAATATTGCTTAACACGTTGACGACAATCGCGTTTTGCGGGAAAGCGCCACGTGGGACAATGGCGTGCTTTCGCATGCGTCCGCCCTGAGCCACCGGTGGCTCATGTTGTCCCT